TAATCAGTTTGCGCGCCTTGCCGTACGAGGCTCAATTCAGAGCTGGGCTGCGTAGGCGCCTCGTACCCTCGATTGAACTGATTATATCCGTTCTGCCGCGGATCATACGCGTACCGCTATATTGCGAGCTACTGGACATTTACAGTTTGTCATGCATAGTTGTAGTCCCTATCGGCCGGGCCTGCATACACACTATACCTTCGATCTTGCGGCTGGGTATAATTTGGCCCGCTCTGTTGCATTAAATTATGACCTTGATTCCTCGATTTCACGTAATTGTCAATGCGCGATAGCAACTCCATCAATTCGTCGTCTGCTTTCGGCGCATTAGCATTATCGTCGATTTGTAAAAACGGATTATTACTTGAGAAAGGTTTTGGGCTCGATGAAATCGCCCCACATAATGATCCGTGGTCATTTGAAAGCGTCTCGTTCATGATACGCCCTACGGTCATCGCGCGCGTAGTGCCCGACGTCGGGTGTGCTGCCTCATTTACGACTTTCTTATAACTTTTCATCGCTGTATTATTTATGACCGGACTCTGAAATCTCACGCAGCGCGCCGTATCACTGCGATTTTCTGTCGATTGATTATCGATAGGCTCGTAAGCGGAATTATGTATGTCCACCAACACTTCATCTGCTCGGGTCGTCGACAACGCGACCATTGAGCTCGTATTAAAATTTGTGTTGCCGAACATCGTTGCTAGTTCATCAACACTAGCACTATGTTTTGCATCGCCCTGGGGTTCATCTCGACTCTCTGAGTCTGAATGCACGTCACTCTGTGACGTCTCACCCAACTGCATTTCATTAAGCGAATTTCGTCTATTGATAAAATCCGCGAAGCCCGGATATTGCTCTTCAATGAGCGCTCTGCGCTCGGCCTCCGAGGCCTCTGCGAGGTAATTCCTCGAAACTTCGCGTTGCGACACATACGGAGCTCTCGACTCCACCCCCCTGTGATTGTTAATTTCATTCGGCATTGTAATCAATGAAATAACATTTAAAATTTCCAAAGTTTATCAAGATCTTAGGCAATGCCGCTCACAACTCAATTGCGTTACTTTAATAAATTCACAAATCAATAAATCAATAAATTCCACTTACCTGTCGCAATGGTATAGGCAGCTTGCGATTTATTCCATGCCACATTTACAACCCTGTGATTCACTCTTCTGGCGGTGCATTTGCCCTGCTGCGTGCGGTGTCGAACTCGTTTTTGTTTGTTAAAAAAAAAAAAAAAAAAAAAACAAAAACAAAACTTTGCACCGATCACGAATAAAACAACAGTCACCGTCGAACACACCTAGCACCAAAATTAAGGGGAGCGCCCGGGGTGTTACGTGGGTGGAAGGAAGTAAAAGAACTTAAAAACAATAAATTAGGCTTGAGTTACTGAGAGGAGAGGGGAGGGGGGGGCGAAGTCTTACGATGCGATGCGCTTCAGCGCGAAACTACTACTAATGAGCCGTGCTCATTATTCCCATTAATGCACCTCGTCACAGGTGGGGACCTTGTCGTCCCACGTGACACTACATAGTATCGGCATAATGATTTAAGCTTATCGGGTATGTGCGAGTCCGTCGCTGATTATTGCGGCAATGGGCTCTGAACTGAACTTTCTTCTGCAATAACAATGTTTTTACTTTTTGGAATACTTTGATCAAGCTGCCCAATGCTTGTACATACGCTGTTATTGCTTGGTGGATCGTTCGCGCTATCTCGTAGCGGTGGTAATAAGGCAACCGCCGGTAGCGTTACTTTGCTACGAGCTACTTCTTGTTCATGCATGTCACTTGATCCACCGTGGCGATCAATTCCATCATTGTTCACGACATGACGCATGCTTGGCGGCAGCTTACCGCTTTTACTTCCTAGCTGCGCGTTTACGGTCCCTGATTTAACTGTTGTATATTTTTTGTACTCTCTTGGGCTCCCGCATGCGCTATAGCCACTGGTATGTAAGATGTATAATGAATTCCTGTAAGGTGTAAATGAATGTTAAGTACGTAGTACTTTTTATGTTATTGTTATTGGTCATATGATTGTATTTTTTAGAGTTAGAATGTATATGACTTGTGAATAGACGAGAACGACAGAGTCTTGTAAATAGTGAACCGAAGAGGATACTGTGAATAATTAACACTTAATGTCGTTTCTTTGTTCACAGGTATTTATCATTGTAAAATAGTGTAATTAGTAAATATAATTTTTGTTATATTAAAACTTCGTTCGAGAAACCCATAGCTTTTATTCCACCCCTTCACGGGATTCACGCAAACTAAATATTATATGAATACATAGGGCATTCGCATCTACTATTATTCGATTGAAAATCATTTTACCTGGCATAAACTCAAAATGAATACAAATATTTTGATTAAACATATTTGCAAAAACATACGCGCAATTTATATCACCAAACTCTGTATCTGAAGCTAAGATCTTTCGCGTTTCAGATGGGTCAATACATGCATCGACGAAGGGCGAACTCAATGAAAGTCTTCGCAACCATATGGCTGATATATTGAGTCTACATATTGTGCTCAGTGAATAGAACAGACAATTTCCTTCGGGCTTAGATGGGATATCATCCGATCTTATGAGCGTTGCTCGCTTATCTGCCCATTCATCATGCTCTGTATGGAGAGTATAGCAAAAAGTATCATTGTCACTCGCATTTTGATTGTTCAAATCTCTATCATCATAAGAAAGGCTTAAATAAGAATTTATGTCGTCATCATGATTACCGATATCTTCGCGTGTCATAAACATCCGCTTCTGGCGTGTTAGAAGGAGCGATTATATCATTTTTGATCAGCTTGTCAATTTCTTTTTGCATCACTTCTTTTATTTTGGGCGGATATCTGTAATACTTCGGGGTGATCGGCTTTTCTGTGGTGGTCGTGATTGAGCAAGTATTAACATTTGATACAGGCAGAGGCTCGCCTTCTAGCCCGAATACATATGGATCATGTGAGACTAATGATTTAACTGTCTCCAGCTCAAAATCATCGCACCCTTCTGTATCGTCTATAAGCACCCGTAGCTTGCTGCTGTATCGTTGGAAATGCATAATTAGATAGAAAATCGCGCGCTACCTCGCCATTAAAAGGGTTAGTCGGTGACTTCAATATTGGGTCATCAAGCATTTCGTTATGTTCACTCGGTGGCACTTGCTGTGTACCGTTTTCCGATCCGGCCGCGTTATTATCCTCGTCGTTCAAATTCAACAACTGGTCACGCCCCATCCGAACACTACCGAAATCTTCGAACCCTGTATCACAGGTGACACCCACGGCTTTCTTTTGTTCCATCGCATCCCAAAGCTTTATAAGCTGCGGAAATCTTTTCTCAAAAATCGCTCTACATTCCTCATCTTACGCGGTCGCTATATAATGCAGCGAAATATTCGCCATTGGCAGATACAATGAGTTACTATTCTCTTTATCGGTATCGGAGATCATTTTGGTTTTAGAGAAAATTCTTCTCATGATTTTAATCTCGCAACAAAACAGATCGAGTAGAAAAATACAATGCTTATTTCCTTATATCAATTTAGACAATTCGGTAAAAAAAAAAAAGCTACCATTATAATCCCGATAATATTAAATATTATGTACTCACTCGTGCACTGATATTCCCTTTTGAGTAATCCTTGATCCTCTCATGTACGATACTCATGGCAATAGTATTGTCGTACACTTCTGACACCAAATGATACGTGGGAAGGGGTCAAATAAATAACATCACAGGAATTATGTGGTAGATTGTGGGTAGAGCATGAGAGAGAGACATAAAGCATTGATTGTTACTGCCATGCTAATGGAGTGGGACTGACTCGAGTGAAGTGTGGCAGGTGCTTTCGCACCTTGCCGCAGCAAATAGTTACGTGAACCGCCGCTACACTGTCGGTGCAGTGTGGCATGCCTACGTAACAATACCAAACTAATAAGTTGATACGAGTTATAACCAAGTTACCGTTGTTTATAACTGATACACCTTCTAAGCCTTTTGATAAAATATCATTGGATTTTTACGGACCATTACCAGTTACAAGTTAGAGAAATCACTATGTACTTAGCATACAAGACTGGCTCTCAAAGTATGTAATACTTGTGCCATGTAAAAGGGCAACAGCCCGTGAGGTCGCTAATGCCCGCATTAAAAAGGTTATCTCTTACTTTGGACCGCCAATAGCAATTTTAACTGATAATGGAACCCATTTTATGAATGATCAATTAGCTGATTTAGCAGCCGCTAGACAAGGACAGTCCTGCTTTGACTGTTTCGCGTATCTTGAGCGGCAGATCTTCCTTACTGGTTTCAGAGCCTCGCATTTCTGATGATAAGTTGTCTCCTTCTTAGCTTTGGAAAATGATCACTCAGATGATTCAGCATTTTTGGGACCGCTGGAGTGCTGAGTATTTTAAACAACTGCAGGCTTGAAATAATTGGAGAAAGGACTCACCTTCTCTGAAAATTGGCAATGTCGTATTGATTAAGCATGAGAATTCCATGAGATTTCAAATGGCTTCCGTTTCGAAATTCGAAAAATAAAAAAGATGACCTCCGAGGTTTTGTTGGTCTTGATTAGGCAATCTAGAGAATCATTAGCTTTGTACATTTTATGCATGCAGGTACCTTGTAGCAGTATTATTTGTGGCTAAAATCCTGGCATTTTAAGCACTACGGAATATCTTTCTTTTTGTTAAGTACTGACTCAAAGCTGACTACGTTATTGAGCAAGCGATTAATGTTAAAATGTTATTGTTGTTTTTAATTGCCCAATGATCAGAAGTACTACACTAAATAAATATTTTCTTGAATCATATTCTAATGGTTTTTACCTTAAAACTATGAAAAAGGTTAGAAACCTTATGTCAATTTTGAGACAAATAATCTTGTTTTCCAGATATCATTTTAATAACATCTAATATTGAAATTTTTTTTTCAAAATTCAAAAAATCAACAATTAAATTTATTTATTTTATAATTTATTATAAATTGATGAAAATATCATTATTTACAGTTTGATTTTTCTAATGTTTGCATACCGATAATACTTGAATGATAAAAAGAAGTTCCGAACTCAAAAAATCATCTGCTACCAAAAACATACTTAGGTAAATTGTATGCAAATCGTGGAATAGCCATAACAACAGACATCCTGAAAAAATATTTAAGTATCAAACAAAATTAAATCAAATAACTTACTATTGTTTTATCCATTATGCTTGGTTGTTAGGTATAAAGAATCAAGTTTCAAAAATTGTGAGTAAATATACTTAATTGTGATGAGAATTGGAATCGGGTCAGCAAGATAATGGTGTTAGTGTAATGTACCGAGCTGTCGCTTTCTTGCACGGGCCAATGAGAAAGCACGGAGATAATGGAGGTACAAGTCGGTACTGAGGGGAAATTCCTGTTTGGCTGCCGAAGTTTTTCATAACTTTTATTGTAAAAAATGCTATAATTAAATGTAGTACAAAAAAACAAAGTAAATTAGGATTTTTTTAAGTAGTCACAGTTCCAGATGGGCGCTCCATACAGGAGAATCGAGTCGACGACGTGAGCATACAGTTCTCGTCAGCTACTGCTGGGCAATCCGTACTGGTGATCTGACAGGCCCCGCAGGGCTCTTACAAGCAGACCATATGAGATGCGGGTCACCAAATGTCCTGAAAATTTTTTTCTGGTCTCCTGATACCTAATAATGAAGCCCACTATGCATAGGTTGATCCAATGAGCCTTAGGGCCCATTTTAAAAATCATTTTCTAGTTTATTAAAAAATCTTTGTGTTTTTCTAACTAGTAATAGGATATATTAAACGGAAAATTGCACGATGTACAAATCTTAGAATTAGTCAAAGAATACATTTGAATTTTTACAGAATTTTCGAGACCTCCCATCACCTATTTTCAAAGGCCCAAATTTAACGCGGTTTTACTTTTTTCTTGAGAATTTCAGATTTTTCAATAAACTAGAAAATGATTTTTAAAATGGGCCCTAAGGCCCATTGGATCAAACTAAGCATAGGGGGCTTTATTATTAGATACCAGGAGACCAGAAAAAAATTTTTCAGGACATTTGGTGACCCGCATCTCATGTGGTCTCCTTGTTAGTAATAGCTTCGAGACGGTCACAGATGATTCTTTCCAAAATCTTGCCCGCTGTATTGAGGAGCGCGCTTCGCACTCCCTCTGGCAAGTATGGCAGAGAGAGCTGCGGCGTACGCTTCCTCATATACATCGCGATTGAGTTTTTCGCATCCCGCGAAAACTATTTTTCACTCTCATTTAAATTTGACAATAGATATCCTAATTCTGACAAGTGATATGGATTCCTTAGTAAAAATGAGACCCAACGATATATATTATGTCCACGAAAATGTTTGTTTCGACGAAAAACGAGCGATTGTAAAAAAAATACATTTCGCTAAAATTCTTGTCAGCTAAAAAGTGGTTCAGACCAATGGCTATGTTCACGAGTTATATACGCCGTCGATGTGTTGTGTAGTATTTCATAAATGAAAGCAGATGCGGTTATGTTCACGTTCAACGCATTGCTAGGCATAGCTATACGTATAGCAGTCGACAATACTCTAGTTATGAGAACGAACTCGGTGATGACTTTACTCGAGCCAGTCGACGTTTTTTCACAAGATTATCTCTTCGGGTGGCACGATCGCTGCTCTAGGTATAATTACGTAGTCGGCGATGACTTTCCTCGGGGAAGTCGTCGTTTTTTCGTAAGATTATTTCTTCGGGTGGCACGATCGCTGCTCTAGGTATAAATACGTACTCGGCGATGACTTTCCTCGGGGAAGTCTACGTTTTTTGTAAGATTATTTCTCCGGGTGGCCGGATTGGTTCTCTGGGTATAAATACGTACTCGGCGATGACTTTCCTGGGGGAAGTCGACGTTTTTTTGTAAGATTATTTCTCCGGGTTGCACGATCGCTGCTCTAGGTATAAATACCTACTCGACGAGGACTTTCCTCGTGGAAGTTGACGTTTTTTTGCAAGATTATCTCTTCAGGTGGCACGAACGGTGCTCTAGGTATAAATACGTACTCGACGAGGACTTTCCTCGTGGAAGTTGACGTTTTTGCAAGATTATTTCTTCGGGTGGCACGAACGGCTCTAGGTGTAAATTCGGACTGTCAACAACTTTTCTCAAGAAAGTCGCGATTTATCGATAACCTTAAGTGACCTACACTGAAAGAAATTTCGGATCTTTTTCGTCTTACGATGTCACATTACGCAGCAAAATGCCGGACTATTTTCATTCCTCATTCTTGGTTAAATCTAATCTCACTAGGGAGCGTTTTGCTCCCATAACAAGCGCGCTCTCTTCTCTAGTGAGATGACTTTGATACGAACTTACCGGTATTATTATTGTCCATATCCTAGCACCATCAAGACACTGCTTTTAAGATCAAAATTTACTACAGTGAAAAGTGAAAATGCACGCATTTTTTGAAAAATACGGTACTCCACAGAACATCATAGACTCATTCTTGAGTAAGTACGCAATAATAATTCCATATATACCAATTTTTAGTACAGTTTTTGGATTTGTATTTGTAGTACAAAGACACTTAACCTAGAATATTTTAAAACTAACGGAAATATGAATGTGCCAAGGCAAATTTATCGATGATTTAACATTGATTTTCTATCGTAATTTTACTGTTACTATTCATATAAAGTTCGGGCCCATTAAGATTTAGATCAGTTATTCTGAAATGAATTTTACAAAATAAATTACTCAGAGATAGTTACATCTGCACATAAGAATACATGCATTGAATAATTTTCAAAACTACTATTTAGTGGGATGGAAATAGGTCCCCAACTTTCCTTTGTTTAATTAACTCTTTTCAACGTACAACAACATACAAACAAAATTTGGTTCAATAAAAACAGTTCAATTGTCTGAAAATGAAATTCCAAACATAGAATTCTAGAGACCAAACAAGTTTGCTGTGTCACAAACATAAACATTTCTCAAAAGTAGTATCTAGTGTTGAAGAAAGAAGTTGATAAATTTTCTTTGTTTATTTACAATTTTAAAATATAGTTCAAAAAAGAATAGTTTAACTGTCGGAGAATGAAACTGGTTTTCTCGCTATGAATTAAATTTTTGAAATGTCATTTTTAGACATTTCAAGTATTCTTATATTGTAAGGAAGTAGTCCAGCACAGGGTCCGACGGTACTCCTTCCTTGTATAATATATCCTGAAATTCCTTCCGCCCGAGAGAGAGATCGGAAATAAGCGAGCCTAATGGTATTGCGGATCGGCGCCAATGTATCGATAAGCGCCGAATTTGCAGAGAGAGAGAGCCGTGATCAACGCTAAGTGCGTAGAAGGGTCTTGCGCGTGCTGCCTTATGAGCAGGAGAAAGCCTGTCAAGTGGAAAGGGAGGCCTATGATGACTGACGAGCCGACGAGGAGTTGATGAATTGAACACTCTGTGTTGGACCTCGCGTGAAATAGCTTCGAGCTACCGANTTCTTTAGAAGCTTATTCATTTTGCTCATACATCTTTGTTTTTACTTTCATCTCCCGCATAAATGTATATTACTTGATATTTATATTCTTAGGATGCGGAATTGACGATGAAAGTTTTTTCGGCATGAATCCCGACCTTCGCAATTTGCTTCTCAGTCAGTTCAGTAAAATTGAAATGAACACTTTTATGACTAATTTTAATTTAGAGGTAGCTTTACGTTCGGGTGATACAACTCGTAAAACCAAATGTCATTCTGAACCTCGGGATGAAACAGAACAAGACATAGTTATGAATGAGATTGAAGACTGTAGTCCTGTACGAAAAAAAGCTCGTTACGAGAATAATCAAGATATAATTTCGGATAAGGATGAAAGTGGTGGCCCTCCAAGCAAACTAGGTCGGCATATAGGTTTCCTTAATTTAATTTTTACTCTTGTATATACACTTGGCAACAAAATTAACGCAACAAAAAATTGCATCGAAATTTTGTCGATTTTCAAATGCTTCTATCTTTCGATTAAAAACTTAATGTAGTACTGGTACACGTTTAAACAATCAATTTTTTCAGTAATTTTTAGTGTTGTGAATCAATTGAAAATCGACAAAATTTCTGTGCTATTTTTTGTTGCGTTAATTTTGCTACCGAGTGTATAATCATGCATTGATAAATAAATGGGAGAATTCCATTTGTGTTAACTAAGCAGAAAAATCTCTCCGGTATTTTATTGCAGATTCAAGTTTCACTTTTCGTAAAAATGGCCTATATTTTTTATTACAAGAATCGATTCCAGGGCAAATTGTTCTAGGAAAATACCAAAAAGATAGAACCATTGATAGAAGTAAATTGGCATCCATTGTTATTTATGATAAATTGAAATTTAATACAGTGAATTATAGGTAGACTATAAAATATATCCAAACAATTAATATGAAATAAATTTATTTTGTAATCTGTTATGTATTATATTTTCATATTTTTTATATTTTAGCATTTGCAAAGATGTTTTTGTAAAGCTACAATCTTCAATAGTTGAGCTTTTTCCTACAGAAGACCCTAAACTTCTATATGAGTCGTCTGTAACTAATGACCAAGGCATCGGTAGTGGACCCAAAGGATACTTGTACTCGACGTACAAAAAAATTAGAAGACAACTAGGCCTCGCAGACATTATAGTCTTGAAAAATAAAAAACCTGATACTGCAGAAAATTCACTAGATATTTCTAATAGATTTGCTGGTAAAATATTATTACAAAATCTTTACATCATGTAATATGATTTGATATAAAATAATCAATAACTTATGTTTAAGGTTTGCAATATAATAAGTTTGCATCATTGTTGGACCCCGTAAGGGAAAACTACCCAGACATAATTGAAATCATCGGAGACTGGCAAAAAACGTTTGATGATAGACACGGAGAATTTTATCGTAAAAGAAAACGAATATATACGTTGAATGTTGAAGATTACCTTAGAAGTTTCCCTTGTATCACTCCACCCCATGGCATAAACTTGGTAAATTAAATTTTTCTAAACTGAATTTGCAATTAATGTTTTCATTTTATTACATAATACATTTGTAAATGTTTCAGCTGGAAAGTGATTTTATGCGCATCGTTCATTCATTATCACCTAAAATTATACCAG